AAAGGTGTCCCTGTGGATATCCTTTCTGCTACCTCCCTAGTTTTCTGTTATCAAACTCATTTGCAGGATGCTGACTGGAGTGACTCTTGGTCTGGTAAGGTACAGGAGGTGTTACAGTCCTCATCTTCTCATTGCCCTCTGCATAACTCTGTCCTCTGGAAGTTAGAACAAAATCAGTGGAGTTAAAGCAGAATGCACCAATGAAAATGAGGAAAAAGTATACAGTGTTATTTTTTTCTGGGATGTGCAGATGTTGTGACAGGCAACCTTACTTTGGAAACATCAAAAGTCTAATGGTATTAATAGAATCACTTTCTTAGGCCTGTAAAAATGCAGATGATCTGTCATTTACAAGTGAATGACAACTCAACACTTAGAGCGGCTGGACTGCATAATATGGCCACAAAATGCTTCCACAATAATGAGTCCAGGAAATTATTGCACAGCTGTAGCACAAGCATGGAGGAGATTAGAAAAGACTTTCAATAGATTTTTAGGTTCTCCCTTTTTAAAAATACCTTTCATTCTCAATGCCTCCTGATTGCATATAGTAGCGGGCATGAAGGCAAGAATCAGCTGCAGTGAAGTCTTGTAGATAAAATGCCAGCATATTTGGACATGCTGACAAAGTAGCTCCAGGAAGAAGAACAGGATCATGATCCTGCAACCTCAACCAATGGAGGGAGTCTTTGAAGGAAATGGTTCCCCCCTGTCCTGAGTAAATATTAAAATCTTTATCACATTCAGTCCAATAATCTCCTGGCTGTATCGATTAGAGTTTGATTGTAAATAGGCAGAAAGAGTCTGTGGAGCCCTTTGGTGCTGTGTTTCTCTTGCCCTCAGGTAGAGAGGCTAGCAGAGGGTGATATATGTCTTGGGACACAATTTCCAGATGCCTGGGATAATACATTTGGAAAGTGTACGGTGGTTAGATCTGCCCTTATTTATTAAAAAAACCAAAAATTCTCTGCTTGCCCAAGGCAAGAAAGTTAATTCTCAAGACAAATATTCCTCCCTTTCCCACCCAGTTAACTGAAATCTGATCCAGGCTGAAGCAGTGGATTGTCCCAAGCCCAGAACTGATTTTTAGATGTGTCTCCACGAGCAGGAGACATGACAACAGGAGACACTTAGGCTCCTATTTGATGTTCATAAGGAGAAGAAAAGAGAGCATCACTGTAAAGAGGTCCCAGTTTCAATATGCATTATGATCAGCTTTTCTAAACTATCAACCTGTATGAATAAAATCCATAAAAATTCCACAATACAACCTTGATGTTACAAAGAAAAGGAATTTCCTGGTGCTAATTTCCATGCTAAGAATTAAAGTGCATGGATTACATATATGCTTGCACAGGGCATGACGGTGTTTGGTTTTGAGTTGTATTGAGATATCCAGACATTAAGTTTGGAATCATGAGAATTTGAGGAACTTGTGCCAGAGAGTGTAGGCTCCTGAAATTATGGATTAAAAATATCGCACTTATCAGTTTAGTGCTAAATGAGTAAAAAAAGGCAGATGAGACCTGATGTCTTTGTATGTGACAATAATATGAAGTTGGTGAACATGATGATCACATGTAACAAATGAGAAAAATATTTTCTCTGATTCAATTTTTGACTCACAATTTAAATCCTTTCTTGAAAGACCACTAACAAAGGGGACACTTGAGTAAGGAGGGAGTCTACCTAATTTAACAAAATTCAGCTAATAAGTTTCACAAAAGATTTTAGAGCATCTGTAGATAGGCAACTGAGAATGAGAGCAGGTTTAATGCCAGAGGAATGATTATACCAAACTGTTTTCTCTATTGTATTACCTTATCATTAATATAATATTGCATTGATCTTATGGTTACTGGTACTGATCATTAATACCAATAATAGAGCAAATTTGTAGCAGACTGCTTCTAGTTTGCTATATGAGGACTTGAGCTCCTAGAGAAGTCTCATGGGCTGGCCATGACCCCTGCGGTGGAGCTGCAAGATGACGGTGTCCAGAGCAGATCAGATGCAAAAGAGGAGCGTATGGAGAAATACCATTGATTTGCCATCTGCCCAAACTTTTACTCCTGTGCTACTTTGACTGCTGAACCACAAGGCTTCTGTTCTTAGAGCAGTTTTCCCTGAGGCAACACCTTTCATTGCACAGACTTATGTCCTGCGTGTGCTACAAAGAATTAACGTTACTTTGCTGCGCGTGTGGCATTGCCATTGACCTGATCTGTTCTCATATCACCTGGGGAGAAGTGTTTTCTGCAATGTTAGACACAAGAAAAGACAGTATCTGACATGAGTACCCTTTAAAGTATAAGGGAACTGGTACCATAAAATGATTTATACAATGCCCTGGCATTTTCAGCTACCAAGATGAACTGCTTTGGAGTGTACGATAAAGCCCTTTATCAAAAGTGGGTTTACGTGTCTGCTTAAAGCCACAAAAAGAAATGTTTGAGAACATAACCTCCCGAAAGGAGATAAGGACAATTTGTTCAGTACAATACTGTGGAATTCCTTTCTGGATTATCAGCTTGTAGTTAAGGAAGTTATTAATGCTGAGACATAATTTTAAGATCAAACCATAATCCATAATCAACTTTAATAGGTAGAAGTGCACTCAACAGAAGAGATAAAACAAGCAATTACTTTTGCCAATTACTCTACTGCTGTGAAAAGGTGTGACCCAAACCCACAGAAAAGCACCAATTCTCAGGAGCTGGTGATCTGGTATGGACTGATGTGGAGCAGTCAGATTCTTTGGGATAGCCATGTATTTTTTAGGCTTTCCTCCACTCCAAATCACAGAATCATAATGGAGGAAGTTGGAAGGGGCCACAGTGAGTCATCTGGTCCACCCTCCCTGCTCAAGCAGGCCTGTCCTAGAGCAAGTGGCACAAGATTGCATCCAAATGGTTCTTGAATATCTCCAGCAAAAGGTACTCCACTATCTCTTTGGGTAATCTGTTCCAGTGCTCAGTTCCCTGCACAGTAAAGAAGTTCTTCCTCATATTCAGGTGTAACTGCCTGTGCATCAGTTTCTGCTTGTTGCCCCTTGTCCTATTGCTCAGCACCAAAAAGAATAGCCTGGCTCCAGCTGTTTGACACTCTCAGATACCTGTAGACACCGATCCTCCCTGCTCTTTCTAGAGGTGGAAATGGAAATTCTAATGGTGGAAATTCTCATGCTGGAGTATATGGGGTTCATAGCAACTCCTGTGTTCACTGGAAGAGCAAAGTGCTTGTTCACTACTCTGAGTCCCAGTGTGTCACCTGTTTAATGGGAATCTGCCCACTTCAGTTCTTCTCAGGAGGATAAATTTTCAATCTTTACAAATATAAATACCCTAAAATATGATTTGCTTGTGAGCTTGAAACAGTGTTGAGAAAATCAGTCTCCCATTGACTACAGATTTTTGCATCAGATCCAGGATTTTGTTGGGTTTTTTTTTGACTGTGGATATTCAGTATACTCGTCTGAACTATCCAGATGTGGTTTGGCTTCGTGTGACCAGGGACGTGGGCTTAACTGATGCAGTTGGTTCTCTGGGGCCTGTGAGGCAAGATAACCTCATCAATGACAAATATCACTTTTTTTAGCTCCTTATTTACTAACTTTAGGATGCTACCAGCTTGCTGCTGCTGGGTGAGCAACAAAGCCACGTCAGCTGGAACATAACTCAGTGACTGTTGATAGTGAGGCAAATATCATCAAAGCATGGGACAAACCTAGGAGGAGGTCAGGCAGCCATCACTTCCCTGACACTAAGAAGTCTAATCAATGATGAGAAAGATCCCTTGTTTGCTTATTGCAGTTACTTGAAAAAACGCTGAGCAGTGTGACTTACCTGATGATAGGGAGACACCACCACAGAGACCACCCAGCTCAGGGGAGTTAACACCAGCCTTAGTCAACGGTGTTTTCCTTTCACACACTGACTGTAGCAAAAGAGGAGAAAAGTCATTTAGTTCCTGGATTTACAACGGAGGTAAACATGTTGTTTGAATTGCACGCCACCAAGGAATATTTAATGTCTATCCCCAAGATGCAACAAGCCAGATAGAAAGTCAACTGAATCACTGCCAAAGTATGATGAAATAAATAAATAAAGGTGCAAGTTTATAAAGACAGGGCAAGACTTGCTCTCTCATTTCCCTGTGGAATGTGAGGGAGCAGGTAATAAAGTTATTTAACTTCCCCTCAATCACTATAGACATAATTTTTCATCTTTCAATGAAAGAATGAAAGAAATTCTCACTTTGTTCAAAATATTACAAAGAAAATTATTTCAAATGACCAGGAAATTGAATAAATTACTTTTCCTCCGATTTTTCTATTGTCCCTCTTCTCCCACTTCATGTTTTCTAGTCCTTCTGCTGCTCTGTACACTTGCAAAGCCTTTGTACTTTTTCAAACATCAGGACCACTAAATTGCAACATAAGGCTGACTTTTCAAAGCTAGTTAAAATTTTTGAAATTCCTAGTGGTTCAAAGGAAAAGCAATTCTCTTTCAACCATGAATTCTGCTCTTTTTTGGAGGTTAGGGAAAGTGACAAGGAAAGCAGTAATGCAAAACACAAAAATGTCCAGTTGCAAACAGAGCTGGATTATAAGTAATAACTTTTAAAGAAAAGAATTGTCAACTAATTAGTAAAAAGCCAACTCTAGCTCTCACCTTTCTGTAACCTTTACTACCATCAGCAGTTCTCACTGTTTTTTCCTTGGGGAGTGAAGCAGTTGGTACAAACTTAAAGAAAAAGTAAAACTATACTTCTAGCAGTAAGTTTTGAGTTACCAGCCTGATGGTGTGAGCCTAGGAGAAGAAAACCCAAGCCTGTCTCAGGGTTCATTTCAGGCATTTCTTTTAACAATGGTTCTTGCTAACAGGGTTCCAATTTAATACTGGTGCAAGTCTCCACACTCTCTCAGCTGCTGCACTCCAGTCATGTAATGACCCCAAGTGTGGAGAGCTGCTTGAATTTCTCAAGAAAGGAGCCAGGGGCATTGTGTGGAAGAGCAGGGAGATGCATCCTCTTGGCTGTCCCTGGCTGCTTTGTGTGGAAATCCAATGTCCTCTCAGGGTTACAGCATAATAATTTACAGACTGTACTTGCTGCCAAGCCTCTGCTGTTTGTCCCCAGCAGTACTGAGGAGAAATCACTCCAACACAAGTACATTAAGCACATGAACAGTTCTGACAAGAAGCAGAGTAATAATATGTTTGGAAAGCTCCCTTATGCTTTACTGAATTCATCTATGGGCTGACCAACAGCTCCATCAGGAGCTTTTGCAGCAGTCAGACATAGAAACATGCCCTCAAGTCTGGCATCAAGTCAAAATATCCTCCGTGCAGAGGTGTCCTTCCACCTTGACTTACTCCATGTGCAATGCAGACTAAGCATTAGCATTTTGTCAGTAGCAAGAGCCAAGCACGGCTGTGCCAAGCTTTGGCAGATTAATGTGCTCTGGGCATGTCTGAAGCACTAAGCAGTTTGATGTGGCAATGGCAGGTAACATAATTTTAACCAAATCTCAGCATTTTTATCTCTCCAGGTGTGAAAGCTTCATGAGTGCAGCATCATGCAATCTCTTGCATTCCCTTTTTCATGCAGGTTCAATGGAAATTAGTGTGTCAGTGGCAAACTGATACGATAAAAACCTGATTTTCAAATTGACCAGTGAAATACTGAACAGGAGAACATTTTGTTTTCATGACTCTGTAAAATGGGAGAAACAGATCATTAGAAGTCTACTTTTTTACAGTAGAGCCTGAGATAAGCCCTTCATTGTTAGCCACACATGTACACAGCAGTTACAGTAAAGAACCACGATAGAAAGAAATGTTAATCTATTTTTTGAGGGATAAGACACACGTTGTCCAGCTTCTCCTGACCTACGCGTTACCAATGCATTGTATGGAATACACGGAATAAGAATAACTGATGGATATCACAAAACAGAGATGCCGACAGCTTTACTGCCCTGCTGGATAATGTTTGGGTGTTTGCTGGTGGCAGATGGTAGGCCTTTTCATCCATATCTGTTTGCCCTGGATGGAGGATTGTTTGATGACATGCACGCAGTTACTGCCACTGTCGTCTTTGTTGTTTTGCATCACTCTTACACCTTTGAGGGCCTCTGTGTGTTTAATCATTTGTGCAGAGGTTTTATGAGACAGGTGCTTGAGAGTGTGATAGAAGGGGAGCTAAGATAAATTAACCTTCAGCTGATCCAGTGAAGGCAGCATCTGTGATGCCTTAGCTGTTTTTAGTGGCCTGGGTCTCGTATTCCACTTTAACATCTGGACTGAAGAATCGTGGTGTTAAGTGGTAACATACTGAGGCTAAATAATCGAATACTCCAACAGGTATGGCCTAATGCCCTCCACAGTGAATGCCAGTGAGAATGCACAGTGTCTGTTGAATACCAGCAAATTGATTTTGAGCTGAAATATTCTTCAGACCAGCTTGCGTTTTTCTGTTACCCAGACCAAAAGCTGCATGAGGCTGGAGGAGACTGAAAGTTTCTGTTGGCAGTGGCAGAACACCTGAGCTGTGCATACCACCAAGAGACTGCTCTGGCTGCAGGGCACCCAGAGCTCAGCACTCATGTAAGTCTCAACCCCTTGTTCCTAACTGAGTCCTCTAGTCTGCTGCTGAAAACTCCTCCCGACACCTTTTCAGCTGAAATTTTAAAGGAGAGAAAAAAAAGGTAAACAAACAAACAAACAGGAGGACTTCTCTCTTGGGAGAAATTCCAAGCTATCACAAACACCCAGACTAAGGGGCATGGAGGTATGTTGGTAAAGAGCTTTGCTCTCAGCACTTTCTTTTGCCTATGTACAGAGAAGTGATACCAGGCCACTCAGTGTTCTGGCTCCCTGAGATCCTTTTCTGTAGCATGACTGCACCCATACATACCTGGGCTCTAGGTTCCACCCCAACTCTGGGCCATGGATACAAGACCCAACTCCTTACTATTGCATGGCACTATCATTCCTTCCACTTGGCAATTGCACCCAGGCCCTGTGCAGGTGCTGTATTGCAAACATTTGCTTCTGAAGGCAAATCAATACAACAGATCTACTTTGTTGCACATCCTTTGGATGCTTAATGAGCCAAGATGCTCATTACTGTCCTCTCTGTAGAAACCTGAGATAAAAAATCCAGCCTTTATCAGCTCAGGCTAGAGCCTTAGTTTACAACTATGAAATAACGTTTCTTTTGGTCCTATGATTTTTTTCTTCCTCACTTCTCTGTGTCTTTCTATGGCCCCAGAGAAATTTATTCTTGTTTGTTTAAATATCTTCTGTCTGGACTGCCTCCAAACATCAACTATAAGCCTGATTAATTATCAAGGAGATCATTACAATTTCTAATAAGTTGTGTGCTAACTACGTGTACCCTATGAGTATTTTCCTCTCATTTATCTTGAGTGCTCATTTTGCAGATTAATAATGAATATGGCAACTGCAACTGCAACCAGTACTGTGACTGTCAAATAAAGGTATGAAGGTATTGGGCTCTTAATTAAGACTGGTATTTGCTTTGCATTACAAGTGCTACTACTGTCTTGCTTCCAGGAAAGGCTGTTTATTAAAAATATATTATTCCCAAGAGACAGATAGAAAACACTAAGACACTGGTAATACAAAAAGAGTCACTTAATATTGAAAACTATTTCATACCCACACTGAACTAGAGCCTATGAAAATTATCACCCTGTTAGACCTGAAGAGCGACACACTCTCTCTTATGTAGGCAAGTACAAATAAGCTTTTCTTCTCTGTCTGAGCCAGAATCCAAAGAACTCAAGCCTGTTATTTCCTTTCTCCAATTGGGTTTGGCCTGGATTCTCTCACTAAAACTGTCTGTAGACCTCACAAATAATTTTCGTATTTGAAAAGCACAATGAAGTTGGCTGTGAGTGGTCATCAGTCAGAAGACTGAGTTTTGTGTATTGCCAGCTTCATGGGCTACATGAGAATCTGCAGTTTGAAAGTGAAAAATGATCTACTTATATTTTTAAGGAACACCTCATTCCTCCTCACAATCTAAAAAACAGTACTCATGATTTTAAGACAAAAAAAAACATGGTAGAAATATCTCAACAGCCAATGTTTCTGAGAAAATAAGTACTTTTTTGGGGGCATCAACATTCTGCTGCAGTTTATGGTCTGCTTTGGGATGGATTTCCTTTGATTGGATGTAGGTGTATCAGGGCAATTGGTTTTGAGTGTGATAGTTTTATATCAGAAAAAGAGTCCCGTTTCTCTCACTTCTATTCAACATCTTATTACTTTTAGCTTCTTTCCTATAGTGCTTTTCAGATCATCACCTGTTTCATTCCCTTTAGTAGGTTGGCTAAGTTTCTGATGAATGTGTTATTTTCAGTAGGATCCCTTTTGTTCCTCTAAAAAGCCCTAAACTAAATTACTCTAGAATTGTGGCTGTATGTGTGCCTTTTTTTTGACTTTCATACCCCAGAAGAGATAATTACAACTCATATAATTTCTAGTTCACTAGTTCATGACTCCATGACTCAGGTGCCACGTTCCTCCACTGAGCATGACCTTATAGGATTTACATTACAATAGCATAAAATAGTTTAAAAGTCAAGAAGCTTGTCACTTGAAACACTAGTTTTGCCCATCAAAGTGACTTACTTTTGGTTAGTCAAAACATGTTGCAGTAGTAACATGTCATAAAGGCATATTACCTGACTTCATGAATAGCAAAACACATGTATCTTTGATTACAAAAGGTAGATAATCTCTAGATATTATTACCCCAGATAAAATCAAAGATGCTGCTTCATAAAGGCTTCCTAAACACAGATTCTTCTTTAACTAATACAACTAGAATAACTAAAGTGAAACCCTTCCCATAGAACACAACATTTTGGTTCATGTTGTGTAATTGATTCTGACCGACTTGATCTCCTTTTATGATCAGGTGACCCACCTGGTGGATGAGGGCAAGGCTGTGGATGTGTCTACCTGGACTTCAGCAAAGCCTTTGACACCATCTTCCACTGCACACTTCTGGAAGAGCTGTAGCCCTCGGCTTGGGGAGGTGCACTCTCCACTGGAGAATCAGCTGATGGGCAGGCCCAGAGAATAGTGGTGAATGGTGCTGCATCCAGTCGGTGTCTGGTCTCAAGTTGTGTCCCTCAGGGATCAGTGTTGGGCCCAGTCCTGCTTAATATCTTTGTTGATGATCTGGATGAGTGGATTGACTCCATCATTAGCAAATTTGTGGATGACATCAGGTTGGGTCAGAGTGTAGGTCTGCTGGAGGGTAGGAGGGCTCCACAGGGGGACCTGGTCAGGCTGGATAGATGGAATTAATCCAGTGGTATGAAGTTCAACAAGACCAGGTTCCAGGTTGTACACTTTGGCCACAATAAGTCCCATGTAGCACTACAGGCTGTGGACAGAGTGGCTGGAAAGCAGTCCAGTGGGAAAGGACTTGGAGCTGTTGGTCAGCAGTGGCTGAACATGAGCCAGTGTGTGCCCAGATGGCCAACAAGGCCAATGGCGTCCTGGCCTGTATCAGGTATAGTGTAGCCAGCCAGACTAGGGAAGTGATTCTTTCCCCTATATTCCCTGTCTTCCAATGGTGAGGCCACACCTCAAGTGCTGTTTCCAGTCCCAGGCCCCTCAATTCAGGAAGAACATCGAGGGGCTGGACTGTGTCCAGAGATGGGCAATGAGGCTGGCAAAGGGTCTGGAGCACAAGTCCTGTGAGGAGCAGCTGAGGGAGCTGGGGTTGTTTAGCTTGAAGAAGAGGAAGCTCAGGGGTGATCTTGTCACACTCTACGACTACCTGAAAGGAGGTTGTGGCCAGGTGATGCTCAGCCTCTTTTCCCAGGCAACCAGCAACAGAACAGGAAGGTATAGCCTGAAGTTGTACCAAGGTTTAGGTTGGACACTGAGAAAAATTTCTTCATGGAGAGGATGATTAGATATTGAAATGGGCTACCCAGGAAGGTGGTGGAGTCACCATGCATGGAGGTGTTTAAGGAAAGACTGGATGTGACACTCAGTGCCAGGGTCTGGTTGACAAGGTGGCGTTAAGGAGCAATGTACAACCTATAGGTTGTACTTTACCTTACAGATCTTTTTTAACCTATTTGATTCTGTGATATGCTACCAGGTACGCTTCCATCAGAGGAGGAAAACCAAACCAGTCTTCCTCTACCTGACCTTCCAATACCACACAACTCTCCTACAAATAGCTGACTGTGTCCTGGGCTTGCCCTTGCCACTGTGCCTTGCTTTAATCCTGCTTTACCACTCATTCTGCCAAGCAGAACTGCAACCAGCTAACATTGCTGTCAAGTGCCTTTCTTCTCCTATCAGTACCAATCTGAATACAGAGTAGGCAGCGAGTTTGCTGACACTCATACTTAAATCAGAATAACATTTCTTATCAAGTAAATTTATTTTTATGACCTTGATGGCATATATATAAAATTCTGTTTTTCTGAGGAAGATGCTGGGTTGTGTTTGCTTGTGCAACAGCTGTGCTTTGTCCTTTAAAAATACAGTATAGTCCCTATGCCTGGCTAATTTTAAACTACATAGGTCTCACTGGTCATCTAAAAATAATTTTCCAATGTTCACATGTAGTATACATAGAATCATCATTTGACCAAATATGGTAGCATAAAGGGGTCCTTATCAGGTCTTTGGCTTCTTCTATAGGGCAATAATTACTTTAAAATACACAACAAAACCATAAACAGGCCCAGTACTTCCTGTTTGCAAAACACCAGGAGCAGAAATTAATGTTTTTGTGCAAATAGAGTCTGGACTGAGGACACAGTCAGACTTCTCCCAGCAGTGATCNNNNGGGGGGGGGGGGGGGGGATGTTGGAATGCAAAACAAAAATTCTGATCCTAGAAATATCAATGAAAATCTTTTTTTTAAATAACCATAATCAAAACATCTTGTTATCAAGCATTCAAATCAATCATTTTCCAAAGACATGCCCAAAATATCTCGGTCATCTGATTCCCAAGGCTTTTAGGTTTCTTCTTCCTCAGTGATCCTAACTCAGAGGAGAGATCTCAGAGGACCTGGACTTCTCAGACCCAAAGCAATCCCTATAACAGAGCAGAACTGGACTTTGACTATCCAGGCTTTCTCAAGTGAAGCATACCAAGCTGGCTGAGAGAAAATGCCACGGGTCATCTAACATTCAGACAGATGGGCTATGAAGGCTTTGGCAAAATGTTTTCATTTTCATTAACTGGGCATTTCCTTGACAAAAACCAGAATGGAAAACTTTTTTATGAGACAAGACCTTATGAAACCTGAATCTGTCACAGTTTAAAGGAACACCATGAACAGTAGAATTAAGAATGTCTCTCTTTTTATTGGTTTTGTCACAAATGGCTATCTTGGTGGATTTAATTATTTTTAGTAAGGGATGAGGTGGTGGTTGAAGTCTCTCTTTCTCACCCTCTGTTCCTTTCACAAATCCAGTAGGAACTTTGTATCTTTGAGACAACTGCATTTCTTCAAACCCCAGACAACTCCATCATTGCAGAGTTAGTGGGAAAAGACAGTAAGAGCAGTGTACTTAAACACACAAAGCACATCAACATATCAGAAAGGTTTTGGTTACAAAGCCTCCAGTGCAGAAGAGGGAATACTGATATTTTCCTCCTACAGCTGCAAATCTAATTAACGTGCTCCATCCCCACACTATTATTCTATAGATAGGCAAAAGCACCAGGTTAAGTGTGTTGCACAGAAAATAATTAAAATCCAATTAGCAGAAATTGTGGTCACCTAAGGTTTTAAGAATTAATCCTAAAGACCTCAGTGCAGCTGTTTGGAAAGTAGTCAGGGCCTACTTATTTGATGAACTGAACTGGAATATTTAAGCCCTTGTTTTGAAAACCTCTCAAGAAATACTTCTGTATGACAAACTGTGGATGGCAATGGGATATTTTTAGTGTCATGGTGGAGTGCACTGAAAGTTTGCTTGCATTCCTCCAGAAGAGGATGAGTCATTACTCACAGATTAGATATGCAATAATTTAACTTTCTTTTCCACTCCTGCAATACTATAAAGCAAAACAGTTTTCCTGAAATGTATACTTCATTGAAGTTTATTCTTCACTGAGACTATATTTTTTAATTTTAATATTTCTGTCACCACTTTACCTAGTAGGCATGGTTCCAATCCATCACAGGCATTTGTGACATTAATACTCTCATTGCAGACATTAGTACAGTCTACCTATATAATAAACGTGCAGCATAGATTTCAGGGAGAGTTCTGCACCCCAAAAAACTTGATTATTTCATGTCTTACATAACTTTTAAAGCTTTTCTTTAGCTTTCCTTTAACAATTTGCCTGTTTTGATTAACTCCCACACTGCTGGTTTAGGTCATTAACGGTTTCCTTTTTTCAAGAATATTAAAGTTTCAGTATTTGCCCAATATCTATAATATCAGAGTCCCAACAGCACAGTTGTGCCCTCCTGTAGTAGAAATAATAAACACATCTTTGTTGTTCCTTTCTGCAAGCTGTGGTTATGGTCAATACTTCCTTAAATATTCACTGTTGCACTCAAA